TATTTTTCTAAGTAGGTAAGTGCCTACCTATCCATTTTTAGATTCACTTACAAGCGATTAGAGTACATAAGTGTACTTCAAATAAGGTCGTTTCTCCTAAGTATTTATATGTAACCCATGGACTGGACAGCGCTAAATATACCCAGTAAGTATGTACTATTTTATATTTATTTTTAAATATTAATATTAAACTACTTGGTTACCAATGGTTAAAATGGCTAGAGTGGATTACGTAATTGAGTTGGTAGGGCAAAAAAAAAACAATTTTTTTTTCATTTTTGTAGTAAGGTAGTCTTATGAAACTAAAACTATGTATTTTTATTATAACTTTCGTGAGACATTCTAAATTATTTATTATGTTTTCGGCTTACTCACGTAATAATACCGAGACACCCATACATCGGCGGTAGCTGAGCATGCTTGTAGTACGGGCACGGCTCACTTCCTCCGTTTCGACAAGGTCTCAGTACTAGCGAGGGAAAAATACTTCGTACCGCGGAAAGTACGTGAGGCCATCGAAATAAGCCGGCGTCCGAACTTCAACAGAGACGGTGGCTGGGCATTACCACCTGCCTGGAAGCCGAGTCTGAAATCTGCATCGGACTGCACTGTTGCGGGTCTGGAGTGTGACACAGTTAGCGCGGTATGTAACACTGATTTTGCGTCGACCCGGGATTCGAACCCAACACCAACGCAGCTGCAGGCGGGCGAGTCTAGCGTGCCAACAGTGTCGCGCGCGCCGTCGCTGCCGACACCACGGCTAGAAGAAAGTGCGCGTGAATCACGGCAGAGGGCGCGTTGGGCGCGCAGACTCGAGTAGCCAGTAGCAGCGCGACGGTCGCCGAGTCGCGTGTCGCGGAATGCTGCTCATGAATATGGGCCTCTAGCATGGCTTGAAACTAGTCGAGTATCTCGTCAAATTATTACGTGAGTAAGCCGAAAACATAATAAATAATCTAAAACTATGTACTTATTTAACGAAGAGTAGAATCTAAAGACAATTAAATAAATAGTAATTAACTAGGTTTTCCATTTCAATGTCAAGTCGTAGATTTAATTGTTTGATAAAATTGACACAAATATTGAATTTCACAATCTATAAATAGTTCAAATTAGTCAGTAATCACAGCAGGCGGATATTTGAGAGTTTGTATATCAGTGATCCTACACCCTGCTGTTTTAGGTTCTACTGCTTGATACAAAAATATATAAAACAACATATCTTCACGCTTTTTAAACCTAGAAGTAGCAAAACCTATGGTTTCCTAATAATTGGAAATGAACTTAGCAATATTACATGTGAATATAATATTTATATCCATTTATTTATTGTAGTTCACAAATAATTATCGTGTTTTTAACTTCATATTATTTTTAACATGTTTTGAATTTTTTGTTTGAATCTGCTAATCTTCGGAACGACTGGTTAGATTTAAACAATTATTTTTATAGTGGATGTTTCAGACGCTTTAGGAGTGTAGGCTATAACCTATAATGTAACCTCGCGGGATTAGATAGTTATCATACGATAACAGATATTTTTTTTTTATGTAATAGGTCGGCAAACGAGCAGACGGATTACCTGATGGTAAGCAATCAGCGCCGCCCATGGACACTCGCAACGGAGGAGTTACGAGTGCGTTGCCGACCTTTTAGGGATTAGGGATTTGGAGATTTAGGGATTGAGGAGGGATTGGGGAAGGGGAAGGATTGGGCCTCCGGTATTATATAAAACACACCTACCTACAAACTGGGCAAAATTTACGTAAGAGCATTCTTCAGCCGAACGGTTCAGCTCAACCGGATTGATGCGATGGCGTTACAGAAAACCGAAACGAGACAAATGTAGCTTCCGTTTTATTTTCGGTGGTACGGAACCGTCTATGCACAAGCCCTGTTCCCACTTGATCGATTGTTATGCAGGTGTAGTGACGACAAGAGACCGCGTGATAGTTTTATCTCCCTCACATTTTTCTACCCGTATTCACTACGCTAAATAGACAATGTATTCTTTATGTCAAGGGAAAATCAAAGATAAAAGCCTAAATTTATCATGAAAATCGATCTGGAAAATATTAAGTGACTAACATGTTTATGTTGTACTTCTTCGTCTCATACGTATACCTATTATAAAAGTGAAAGTTTAGGTACACCTTTTTTTATGTAAAGAGTCGGCAAACGAGCAGACGGATTACCTGATGGTAAGTAATCAGCGCCGCCCGTGGACACCCGCAACGGAGGAGTTACGAGTGCGTTGCCGACCTTTTGGAGATTAGGGATTTGGAGATTTAGGGATTGGGAAAGGGTCCGGGAAGGGGAAGGATTGGGCGTCCGGTAACCTCACTCACACGGCGAAACACAACGCTGTGGTTGTTTCACGCCGGTTTTCTGTGAGGCCGTGGTATCACTCCGGTCGAGCCGACCCATTCGTGCCGAAGCATGGCTCTTCCACACCTAAATGTAGATGGATAGATGTTTGATACTTTTTCACGTATGTAGATAAAACAACTGAAATTTATTTTGATACAAATAACTTATGGTACGGAAATATAGAATATATTCAAGTAAAACACAGGCTTCATTATATCCCGACATTATATTATGTCATGGATTATATAACAATAATCCATGACATCTCTTTATAAGGTGCTTGCCAGCTCGCAGGCTTGGCAGAGTTGCAGATCACAGTTTAATATTTACCACTTTCATCAGATATAAGCTGCTAACTGGTCTATATAAAATATAGGCCTTACTATGGTATAACGACGAATGGGTAAGGAGTTGGGGAGAATCGGAATTTTTTTGACTAAAAACGTCCAAGTCAGGGCCTTGGTATCTGCATTATTGCACTTGTCGCGCACACCCGGCTGAACATCGGCCCTCGTGGGCACCATCTGTGGAAGTCTGTTGGCATCTTGAGTCCTTGGCGCGCGATGACAAATTAATATTTGATAATTAATGAATAATTCAAAACATAATAAATAAATTAATATTTGTTAGATTTATTTACAAGTAGTGATATTACTAACTCTTAATCACCTTCGGCTTCGGCATCGGCTTTAAGCAAAACTGTATATTCTAGATTATGGGTTTTTTTTAATAAATTTTATTTATTATTTATTTATTATCTTACAGGCCACAAATTGTATCCTAGACCACGACTAAAAAGGTCGCATACGGACGAAAAAGGAGAAACACAAGAAACAAAAACTGTAAGTACTTATTTAATAATTAAAATAAAACATAGTTAACTCGTACCCTATACTTACACTCTAATTTATAAATACTACATAATTGAACTTTGTTGTTGTTCTTGACACGTTTAATTATATATATTCAGCTAAAAACGAAATATGGTCTTAGTTATATTTTAGAATGATTACAATTCATGAGTTTGTTTTCTCATTAACAAAAACAAATGTTCCACTCGGCAGATAGAAGTTAAGTTAATTGAACGAAAAGTACCGGTGTAACTTTAAAACAGAATGGTTGAAGTTAATCTCTTTTTTAAGGGGCAAAAAAGGTCATAAAAAGCTAACTTTTAGTGTTTGAACTTGGAAGATCCAGCCAGAGAAGAGTTAAATAAAGCTGCCTAAATGGATTTACTTAAGATACAAGTGCCTTCTGTTCACTGAGCAATAATTTTTACGTCATATCCTTTTGTCTGACCAACCATAGACGGGGCCCTAAAGAGGTCGATGTTCCGTTGGAGCTGCTGGGCTGGGCGTCCTCGGCCTGGAGTAGGAGAATACCTACGAGGGGGTTTTTAGTTAGTAAGAGTCTGGCACTACCTCTCGTCTCACCGTGGACGAGAAAAGGCATTTGATGATTTTCTGCTCACAAAAAAGTCGAGTTTTTTTATGTGGTAGGTCGGCAAACGAGCAAACGGAATAAATACCTGATGGTAAGCAATCAGCGTCGCCCATGGACACCTGCAACGACGGAGTTACGAATGCGTTGTCGATCTTTTAGGGATTAGGGATTTGCAGATTTTGGGAAAAGGAACGGATTCGGGTAGGGGAAAGATTGTGACTCCGGTAACCTCACTCACACGGCGAAATACAACGCTGTGGTTATTTCACGCCGGTTTTCTGTGAGGCCGTGGTATCACTCCGGTCGACCCGACCCATTCGTGCCGAAGCATGGCTCTCCCACACTTACTAGATACACCACACTTACTCTAGATAAATTTATATATTCTTTATCTGTTCGAAGAGTAAATATACAAATCGGAGCTTCTTGGCTCGACTCTGGGTTACTAGAATTGATTGATAGTATCTAAATGTACCTATTCAGTAATCAAATTTTTTGTCTATTGAAAGAATTGAATCGGCGGTATCGCCGACGCAATCGTAAGTACTTACTTAGGGTTTTCTTAGTACAATATTATAGTCCCATTTAAGATTAAGGATTTTAAATTTCGTACGTACCGTACGGGTACTATAACTGTGTTCTTTCACGTAAAAATTGCCAAATAAATAGTTTTAAATTAATTTCATTTTATAGATTGAATTTTAATTCAAACCCAACAACCCACACTTACTAATAGGAACAACAACATTCAAACAATGATAATTGATAAGGCTCTACTTTTCGGAAGTTTCTCATATGCCAATAACGAGCTTCAGATATCAAACCATTGAGAGCGACTTACAGTTCAAAACAATATTCATCAGGAAACTAAACAGTACTTAACACAACAACAAGATAACTATTAACTATGGCCAAGTACTCATTAAAACATGCTTTGAGCCGACACATTACATTTCTATGATCTCGGTAAAATAACGCACTGCTACCGCCATCTAGTGACGCTACAGCAAACCAGGAAAAGTCGCACAACTCTGCCAAACGTTTATTGGTTCCATACTTTACTGTCTTTGTTTATTGAAAATTATTACCAATAAAATGCGAAGACATTTTTAAAGAAGTAATAAATAAAAACAAATAAGTTTATATATTTTTTTAATTGGTTAGAAAATGTTTAATTTTGTACGCGTCGAAACTATTGATCTAACTCGTTTGAACTACGCATGCTCGGGGATGTTCGCAAGGGTTGGATTCAGACAATCAAGGGCTGTGAAACTGCTTCAAGTTAGATTTTATATTGTGCTCACTATCCGTTGAAATTCATTAGAGTTTATAAAGTGTATTTATTAAATGAATATTTTAGAATCAATTAAACCATGGGGAACATTCAAACCAACGATAAACAGTCCAAAACCGGAAAATCTCCCGCAAAGGGAAAGCATTTTATGCGAAACTTGAACAGAAAGTCACCAGGAAGGGACAGCAAAAAGCATGGACGGAAGAAGAGTGATGCTAAACGTGACGCCATCGACAGGGAGTTTGATAAAACGCCAGATTCGGATATCAACGAACCGATCGAAATATCAGATAACGATACGGTCGAGTGCGTGTTCAAAACATTGCGGCAGGGGGAGGGCGCAGAGTCGGCGAGCGTGCAGTCGGAGGTAACGGTGACCGGGTGCGAGCCGCGCGCCCAGCCGCGGTCACCGACCCGCGACCAGTTGCCCGCCGCCGCTCCGCCGCAGCCGGCGCTCTCGCCTGCCAACGACTCTACCTCCGAGTCAGTGTTCACGGACCCGCTGACGCCGCTCGCCGTCGAGCTGAACCAGTGCTACTACTCCGCCGAGAGCGACAGCGCGCATGAGGAGCTGCCTCGCACCCTCACGCCCTCCCTGCCGGACGTGCAGCCCGCGAGTGTCGCGATGACCGTAGACATGCCGCACGATGACGCCGCCTCCTCGCTCTCCACTGACGACTTGGAAAAAGAAGAAAAAAATGACGTATTCGATGACAGTGGTGACAAAAGCGAGAATGAAAAGGTTATGGGCACTGCATTTTCGGGGTGGTGCGGCGATCACAAGGCAGAACGGAATATAGAACGGATCACTCACGAGTGCAACCACGAATTCCTCGACAACCGGGTGAAAGCTTGTCCGGGTCAGACTTCGTTTACAGTGTCAAAACATCGGAAGGTGGAACTTCCCCCAGTGGCTTGCGAACCGTCACTCTCGTTACTAGACAACGGTCAGTTTACTTGTTAAGTTATATTCCTTGCAAAGATGCCTTAATAGTATCAAAACAGAAACATTTACAATTGTATGACATATAATTTATAAATAGTGTAGTCACATGCCCGAATAATTACTTATATTGTCAACAAAAGTATCTCAGACTCAAATGAATTCTAATAACGAGTACTTACTGAATACCTAATGTAATTTTCATGTAAGTACATTGTGTATTTGTGTCATTGACGCATAGTATTTACACTGAGAGCAGACAGGCAGATAAGTTTATCCACACCAGTTATCTATTTGCGTTGTTCGTTATCACAAATCTTCACAGAAATCAATCAGAGCTACACAATGCTCCATTTTACCTACACACCTAGATGTTCTATACCTTCATACTGTTGTGTACCTGTTGCTAACATACAGTGCTTACTTTTCATAATGGTCGGGCAAACCTGTTTGTTGATGTTTTTACGCGCCGGCCTAAGGCACACCCAGCCCGAAACAATCAATTTTCAGCTCTACTACAGCGAAATTACGTTGTAAAACTGATTCTATGTAAACGAATATCTACATAACAAACGTTCGTAGTACCTACTTACATAAGACAGTTTCCCGCACTGGTAATGAAACATGATTACCTTTGGCGTGCGTAACCATAAATGAATATAAGAGGTACATGTATAGGAGTCCATTTTAGATGTAATCACGTCGGCAATTTACGCGTTTTTTAGTCTCATTTGCTCTGCTTGTAATGTACTTGAATGATCACCGGCCATGTTTTGTGTATAAAATAAAGAAAAGAAATACAGCAAAAGTTTCGGAGTTAGGTGTGCAGTAGTAAGTAATCGTCAGATGACCTTTATGGTATTAAAATAACACTACACATTAGTACTATGTAGATGCCTAAACAATAGACAGATAGTTCTTACTAGATGTATTTTACAACACTGCAAGCAAAAATCAACCTTAACATCACTACATTTGTACAAATGTAGGTACATCGACATTTTTATGTCTTTGAGAATCGAGTTCTACATCTGCTAACAAAAGGTGTGCTCCGATACCGTTGGAAGCTACTTTTTGTAATTAACAAAGCATTGATTGAATAGCAGCATTGTATTTGATTCTGTTGCGTACGACCTGATGTTCATAGTTAGGTAGTGTAAACAGCATCTTTATTTGTATAAAAATAAGAGCTATAATTGTAAGTCACGATCTGGCATGCGATTAACCATCTTTTGAAATGGATTGGTACTCTAAACCTGCGGTAGAGCGAACATGATAGACAATTGTTTTTTTTTTTACCCGACTGCCAAAGAAGGAGGGTAATGTTTTTCGAGTGTATGTAAGTATGTATGTATGTCTGTTCCTTTGTGACCTCCTGTAGCCTAAACGGCTTGATGGATTTTGATGTATGAGGTATCGTTAGATTTGTCTTGATTACGGGAGTGTCATAGGATACATTTTATCCTAAAAGTCCCACGGGATAAAGACATAATAATATTTTTTCTAAATTTCCCTTTAAAAATATATGTATGCGGTATCATTAGATTCATTTCAATCACGGGAGTAATTAATATAGGATACGTTTTTTCTCAAAATTCCCACGGGAACATGTTAATTCTGCGTCAACGCAAAGCAACTCATGCGTTAGCAACATCGATCACTAATAAAGAACTAGATACACAATCCCATACAAAAGTTCGCTTCAAAACTGTCGCCAACTGTATTTAGGTACTTATACTTGAAATAAAAATGCATTAATGTAAATTAAACCTTAAATGCAACTCATAGAGTTGTTTTTACCCGACTGCCAAAGAAGGAGGGTAATGTTTTTCGAGTGTATGTAAGTATGTATGTATGTCTTTTCCTTTGTGACCTCCTGTAGCCTAAACGGCTTGATGGATTTTGATGTATGAGGTATCGTTAGACGTGTCTTGATTACGGGAGTGTCATAGGATACATTTTATCCTAACATCACTCGTAATCTAAAGCCAAATGTCGTCGAAATAATTTAAAATGTACTTACATATACATAGTCTTCTACATCTACAACATTTTCGTTAAATAAAAACAGCTAAAAAGTTATAAATAAAAAAATTATTATTGAAAAAACAAAATACCCGACTGCACACTAAAAAAAGAGTAAAACAAGCCCCACAATACAAATTTACTGAATATAATTTATAAATGTTGATGGAAAGCATCGCAGGCGGGGACCACCTTGACCGCCACCAACGAAAATTCTGCTAAATGGTGCACAACAGAAATGACTATAAATAAGCCTCTGTTGGTCCCCGCCTGCGATGCTTTCCATCAACATTTATAAATTATATTCAGTAAATTTGTATTGTGGGGCTTGTTTTACTCTTTTTTTAGTGTGCAGTCGGGTATTTTGTTTTTTCAATAATAATTTTTCTTTAATCTCGATTCGTACAAGGAAACTTAAAAAGAGATTGGAGATAAACATTCGTAATAGGTCTTCAAATCAAACTTCTGGATTGATTATGATTATTTTATAGGTACTCTAATAATGATCAGTGATATTATCGGTAATTATGATATTTTGACGGAAAAGATAGCGGTTAAAGTTTCATTAAAAGGGCTCAAGGTTTTTATTAAACTTGTGAATCGTCCCTGTTCGATACCTACGGGCAATGACAATATAACCACGTGGTTATATCCTCTTTGTCTGTCATTTGTGTTGTTAGCCCACCATCACGACGTCAATAAGATTTCATTGCCAATTATTTTAGGGGAAAATTTGAAAAAAAGAATTCCCTGATTCGGTCTAGCCGTTCCCGCCTAATGCCATTATCAAGGGAAATTGGGGTTGTTTTAAATTTTTAAATATGTTAGGTATTTAACAGTTGATAGATGCCTAGTTAATAGCATTGTAGTTAAAAGGTCATATTGTACAGACAAGAAAAGCTCTAAATAATGGCACAAAATATGGAAAAAACGGCAAAAGAAAACCGTATACTTATGTGAAAAAGACTAATAGAACGTAAAAGTGAAAATGGTATGAAAAACTTAGGTATTCTAAATAACTTTCATTTATATTTTTGGAAAGTCTGCATTATTTAAATTTGATAGGTAGTTATGGACATAGAAATAGTTATCTAACGCAAAATGCTAGCCCGTATAATTGACTGAATTTGGCTTTTTAGATTTGCACTTTAAGCTCATAGTCTGTTGAAATATCATCAAATGACCTCTCTCGCCCATTGTATGGCGAAAGGGAGTATCAGACTCTTATTAACTAAAAACATCCCCGTTCCTTCTCATGGTCCAAACAGAGGCCGCGTTCTCATGGTCCAAACAGAGGACGCGTTACCTTATTGCTCTTGACCGGAGGCCCCGGCTAAGCATTTCCCATGTTTGCCACATCTGAATATTACTAACCTATGCCCATATTTCTGGCAACACATGCACCTGCTGTTACGAACCTACTAGGTACCTAAAAACACTGTTGGTAAAACAGAAATCTTCGAAATGTGTCTTCTTACAGATATTCCTTGATGGCTTATTCCAATTTTTTTTATATAAAATGCTTGTTTACTTTCTTTTCAGTGATAACGGAGAAAGATCGCCGACATTCTAGTGTAAGTGACGCTCCGATGTCCGATTCGAATGTGTTGAGAAAAGTGGCTTCCCTAACACTCGACAAGCTCACGGAATCAAGGGTGGTGCGCCCCAAATTCGTTCCCGATAAACTGGATTTCAAATTGTATGAAAAGTTTGAAGGTAGGTAATTAGGACTTAGATTACTTATAATAGTTTACTTTCGTTAATTTTTTACAATTTGATGGCGACTCTTTGTTGTACCAAACTATACGTAAATTATGTCTATGTAGGTAGTTGAATACATTACCTACAGAAAGTTATGTACCGTGTGTACAAACAAAAGCATCTACGTAGTTACCTCCAAAATTTAAAACTGTAAAATGAAACACTTAAAGGAGGAAGATATATCATTGTGATAAACATTAGACAGAATGTACAACGATACACATTTAATACCTACCATACGTACTAAATGATAAACTTATATGACATTATTGACTATGACTTTATAATAAACAGTGGTTACTTTTAACTCCTAAGTCAATCAGTGCTAGGCACGTAGGTACTGTTTTGAAGTTTGAAGTTTCATACTGTCCCGCCAATTATTTAGTTTTAAAGTTATAATTAACATATGATGTGTATTAAACACATATATCACAGCGCGTCGCAAACAGGTGAATGAACATAGTGATAAGGAAATTATCTTTTAGTTACAAATAGCCCATAATTTCTTATCGCCGTTAATCACTAGTCTTAGTAGGTACCTAAGAGATATTAGCCATTAGTAACTAGTCTGCATACGTGACATAAAGAGCTCGGGCTCTTTATAGCTTTAATTTTAAAAAATGCAACTGTCCACTAATCGTGTGAACTTTACCAGCAACTCGGTAGCACAGTTCAATTATATCACATTTCTTAGTCAGTTTCGTTCGCGAAGAAAAGGGTTGCAAGACATTGGAAATATTGTGCGTTTGCATAACGATGACTTCGCATTGTTAAAAGCAGAAGTTTCACCAAAATACAAATTACTTCGGACGTCAAAGTGTGTGAAAAATTGTCGTGCTCTAGTTTTGTATGTGCCTCAGAAAAACTTAAGACTAAATGTCCCAAAACACTTGAAGTGGCATCGTTTTCGGATGTTTGTTTTGAATAGTGAAAATCACGAGGTTCATGTGGATTGCGATTTGAAAATGGCAGCAATTGTAGTGCAAGTTTATTATCATGTTGAAACAGTGGTGTGCACGATCAACGTGTCAAGAAGCTGCAATTTTTCGGGTGGATCTCCGCACAGAAGTAGGTTTCAAAGCAACAATGCTTCATTAAATTAATCATAGCTTAAGTGTGGTAGGTATGGATATTGACAGATTACGTAAAGGTTAGAATCCGGTTAAAGATAGGTACAACTTACGTTAATAAAATAAAATAAGTAACGTTATTTCTGAGCTTATTTCCCGCCTAATATTGATGACTGTAAAGTTAAGAGACATGACTGTGAAGTTAAGAAACATATCGATAAAAAAACATTTAAGAAGACTGTATAAATAAACTACCAAAACAATAAACTATCTTGATCTTAAGTTGAGTACTACACACCACCTATCTATACTTATTAGCCAACTTACCTACTATTGTCACGCATACCTATTAAGTATCTAAGTACCTATATAACACGTGAGCGTTGCATACCGACTAGCGGTAGGTACCTACCAGATGGTTGGTTAGTTCCCAATGGCAGGCTTTTCGAATTTTGGCTATCATTATTGTCTTATATTATATATTATGTTCATATGTGACAAATGGACTGGTTCTAAGGGTTTAAATACTTAGATATTAAGAAGTACCTACTATTTTAATCTGTTGTTCACTTGTTAGCTCGTGCCAGTCCGTTATCCAAGCAGATGATGCTATTTGATTACTTACCTTTTTATTATGACATACCTACGGTGCCGAACTTGTCATGTAAAAAGAGAAAATATTAAATTATTTAGTACCTATTGCTTAAAAAACTAGTAGATACCTAGGAAATATGTACTTATTCTGTAAAGAAATTACCTCCACGTTTCCGTTTAAATAAAACGAAAGAAAATATATACGTACATATTGATATACCACAATAATTGAAAAACTAACCTACCTGACTAGCTTAAACCACTCATAACATGATTGTAACTAACCCACCTTCTTAAAGGTATAAGTAGGTAGGTACGTAAGTACGTACAATGGGTACATATTATTATTAATACGCCACAGGGTTCGTACTTAAGTAATAGTTACATATTATTTAAATATGTATATACCTACAAATCAATTCAAGGCCTCTTAAAGGTTGTTATTCAATCATTGTAAGATTCAAGCAGATATTAAATCCTGCCACCCGGGAATTCTACGTTGATTGATTTCCACTATGGCAATTTAAAATTTTAAATAAGTTCTAAGGCTCTATTTATAATACAATGTAATACCAATGTATTATAATTGGAACCTTATCCACTTAAATATCAACATTCAACCAATATCTTTGGTTTATTATTTTAAAGGAATTCTAATAGACAAATGAATAAATAATCTCACAAGCAAGCATTTTATGATCTTATAACATACTTACTTATTTGTATTTTGTTGTAAATTTTAATAATATTCAGGCATCGATCACTGTATTCAGGCCAATCTGACCATAACCGATGCAAATGTATTAATCGATAAGACAACGTTAACGGTTGCGCTTGCGCTGTTTCGCATCACTAAATTGTATCAGCTGTCAAACACTGTGTGTATGGTCTGGTATGGTCAGTGGCCAACCTTGTTTATTTTCGAACTTTTGTAAAACTTTGTGTGTAGTGAGTGTTAACATTGAAATATATGTGTACCTTCCAGGTCAGATGCTTCTGAACTGGTTTATATCATCAATAACGGAGAACAGTCATTTGAAAACATTGTTAAGCGTTCAAGATCTGAGAAACCTTGGGATACAATATTGTACTCATCTTCTGGCCGCTGGCGTCCTGAGACAAATATCTGACAAGGATGCGCCCACGGAAAATATTTTCAAGGTGAATACTTTCATTTAGACTAAGATAATAGTATTATCTTTGTAGTACAGGTATTAACTTAGTCTTAACCAAACATGGCCTGACACTATTCTACATTTTAGAAATGTTTACGTATTATATGCATAGTATATATGTAACTTACATAGTAAATGGGTTATTTTAAGGCAACGTTCTAGTTTATACTAATGATATTAATTCTTATACTTAAAAAAACCTGCTAATATATAGAACTATATTTTAAGTACATACTTAATGTCACAAATATTTGGTTACTACAATTGTTTTATATTCTTCATACTACCAAACTTAAAAAACATTTACCTATCAATTTCAGTTTCGTTTAGTTTAATATGAGTTACATTTTGTATACCAATGAAAAACATATATTCAAAAATATCTATATAGATATACATATATATTACTATAAAAATTGTCTGTGGATACCTTTCCCTTACCTTTTTTAGAGTCAATATGTATATTATTTACCAAACAATTAGTTGATACCAATTATATCTTAAATATTGTTGGATATTGTTTTTACATACCGCTTAGTTTTTAACCGCATTGTAAAATGCAAAATATCTTATTCTCTATTTGAAATTTTTAAATAATTCTGTTCCATTATCATTTCAGCCAAATTTAATGTACTATTGGGCACATATGGAGGTCCCAACACTGCAACCAGTGACACCGGGCAGGCTGCACACATCTGTCTGGCCGCCAGACAAAGATGCAGTCTTCCTCACACAAGACAACCAGCGTGATCTAGAAAACAACAAATTCTTTAGTCATAACAACAATGAAGAAATAAGTGATATTGACGAAGCTAAAGTAGTTATATCGCAACTTAAGAAAAAGCTCCAAGAGCTGGAATATCAATTAGAAAAATATCGAATAAACTCACAGATTGAATCCCTGAATAAAAATTTAGAGAAAAGGCTTGATTCCATTAATGAATATAACCTATTCAAAACCAAAACAGAATTAACAAGTAAAGAAGTGCAAACATCAAATTTTGCCAATGAACTAAATAAGATATCAAATAAACCTGTGATAAACATACCTGAATATGACCCTCTAAGAACAAATGTAAATATTGATAAAGCATTAGATTTAAGTAGTTTAGAACATAAAAGTGAGACAGCTATTACAAATAAACCTGATGTCAGATCTGAAAAAATTGTAAATTATTGTAAGTTGAATAAAAGTAGAGATTGTAATAAAAGTTATCGTAAAGATGATCTAACAGAGCTTAACACTGCCGAAGATACGAAGAAGAATCAGCTCCTTGAAAATGTTGACCAAAGTGCTTGTTCCTCAGACGCCTCGTTCCTCAGCACCTACACCTCCACTGAGTTAATCACGTACAGTGCAAAAAGTTTCATTGACGTAGATAGACAAGAAGAGCCCACTGTCACAGAAAATAATGTTCATCCTCCACACACGCAAGTGTTGTACACAACAGTAAAAACACAACAAGTACCAAATAATCAGCCATCATTGGAGCTTTCAAGTAATATCTCCTTGGATCATGAAAACATGAGCAGTGCAGGTGAAATGGATGTTAAAACATGTTTATCAATATCTGACAGGTCTCCAGACCTCATGGTATCTGCGGATTCAATACCAACGAAAGGAGTGTCTGTGGTAGGGCAGGTCACTCCAGTAGAAGAAAAACATACTAGTCAAATTGTTCCCTTCGAACCTCCTCCGTCACCAGGAATGCCACCTCCGCCACCTCCCATGCCGGGAACACCACCAGCAGATGAAACATCACCTAAGTTAGACTCTACCTTTGACCAATTAACCACCAAGGATATATTGCCAACTTCCGTGCAAGACGAAATTCCTTCTATAACACCTCAAACTTCAACCTCTCCGCCCCCACAATCCACAGTGGAATTACCACCTATGTCTACGACTGCTACAGTACAATCTCCACTGGAACTTTCTAGTGCAACTCCATTACAGACACCTACGTCTAGCGTCGGTCCACCACCGCCTCCCATGCCCGAAATGGACCTACCAACTACGTCAGGAATGGGTCCACCACCACCTCCTATGCCTGAAATGGGGCCACCGCCGCCCCCAATGCCTGGTATGGGCCCACCGCCGCCCCCAATGCCTGGTATGGGCCCACCGCCTCCTCCAATGCCCGGAATGGGCCCACCACCACCTCCTATGCCTGGGATGGGCCCACCGCCCCCTCCCATGCCCGGAATGAGCCCACCGCCTCCTCCCATGCCCGGAATGGGCCCACCTCCTCCTCCTCTGCCAGGTATGGGTCCACCTCCGCCACCCTTGCCAGGTATGGATGCTCCTTTAGCCCCCAGTATGCCTGGACCCCCACCCCCTCCCCCACTTTCTAGTGGACCTGTACCCTTTCCAGCACCACCTGCTGGAGGATGGAATGTTCAAAGAGCCAGTAAGTAAAATTTTCTATCGAATTTATATAGATCTCATAATTAATACTGTTCATAAAGAATATAATACTGACTTAGTTTCTTGTCCTTTTTATACTTATTTGATTTAGTAATTTCTATTTCTGTGTAATATCAGTATGTGTAATGTAAGATTCATTTTGGTTTTCTAGTTCTTCAATGTTTTAAGACTTATCAAGATTGTGGCTAACATCTACTTTTTGTTTGTAGCGTTAAGAAAGACGCCAGTAAAGCCTGCGGCACCCATGAAACCTTTGTATTGGACGCGAATCCTAGCCACTACGCCTGCGCCCACCAACCAGGGAGAGACAACCCCAGGCAATTTTAAACCTTTATGGTTGGAAATAGAAGAAGCAAAGTTAGACAATATTGACGAATTTACTGATCTGTTCTCTAGACAAGTCGTAAAGGCGCCCGTCAAAAAGAAAGTTGAAGTTAAGACGAAGATCCAACCTATTAAAATATTGGACAGTAAGAGATCCCAGAACGTGGGCATTCTTGCACAAAGTTTACACGTCGAGTTCTCAGAGATTGAGAATGCTATTTACAATTTCGATACGTCTGTAGTCAGTTTAGAAGCATTGCATCAGATATACGAACTGGTCAGTATGATTATTTACCGTATGTTAGACCTCTTCTAATATCTATATAGTGTTTCTTTTATTTGACCCTTGTTTTACTAATTACAGCGTGCCAGTGAGGAGGAATTGTCATTAATAAAAGAACATCTAAACCACAAACCAGAGATACCGCTGGACAGGCCTGAAGCATTTTTACACGATCTGTCTGGGATACCAAATTTTGCTGAAAGAATATCTTGTTTTATGTTCCAAGCAGAGTTTGAAGATGCTGTCAGCACAATGATGCACAAACTAGATAATTTGAAACATACTTGTGAGGTGAGCCATTTGATAATATTATTAACTAGCGCGTCACGAATGCTGCTTCGCAAGGATGTCATTAAGTAGTTTTGTTAGCAAACCGATGCAACACGAAAGGTTGCGTTTTCCCCTCTCCTTTTTAAAACATAAACTATACATAAGCTGTGAGCCTACCTTATTATAATAAATAAATAAAACATTTTAAGGACCTACTGATCTTAGCAAACACAGCATAAAATTACTGTAGAATTCGGATTTAGCCGTTCACGTGATAACCATTGGAAATTGTGATTCCTTTTTACGCATAGGTAAAGATAATTGTTGAAGCTGGTTACTTTGCTAATTATATGCAAAAGTTTCCTACACACAGAAAAATACTAAGCCATAGTTATAACTAGCTTCTGCCACCGGCTTTGCTAGCGTTTTTACATGGATGAGGTACAAATACTCATCTATGACATTGCCTGTTTAAAAAAAGTTTATTTAAAACCTTAATTTTTACAGTTTCTAACAACCAGCGAATCTCTGAAGAAATTGTTTGCTATTATACTGACCCTAGGCAACTATATGAATGGTGGTAATGGCCAAAGGGGGCAAGCTGATGGCTTTGGTCTGGAAATACTTGCAAAATTGAAAGATGTAAAGGTAAGTAAAAATACTGGCCTACAACTTTTGGTAAAGAATATATTTTTTGAATTTCTCAATATTTTATACATACCTATGGTCAAAAATTTCCAAGATTCTTGAACATGGAATTGGATAGAGGTAGAAAGAGGGAGTAATTTGACAAAGTTTATTTATGGAATAGGTCGGCAAACGAGTAGAAGGATTACCTGATGGTAAGCAATCAGCGCCGCCAATAGACACCCGCAACAGAGGAGTTACGAGTGCGTTGCCGACGTTTTGTGGATTAGGGATTTGGAGATTTAAGCATTGGGGAAGGATTGGGCCTCCAGTAACCTCACTCACACGGCGACACACAACGTTGTGGTTGCTTCACGCCGGTTTTCTGTGAAGCCGTGGTATAATTCCGGTCGAGCCGACCCATTCGTGCCCAAGCATTGCTCTCCCACATTTAGTTACCCCTCTTTTTAAAGCTTAGTACACCATGTTCTTACATATTTCCTCAACAATTTGTTCGTTACAGCGCAGTATAACAAATTAAACCATTTTCAATATGTAATGTATTATTGTCTACAGTCGAAGCAGTCAAATGTGACGCTTCTTCACTTCATAGTGCGGACGTACATGCGGTCCTGTGGCGGTGCGCTATCAGACGGCTGTGTGTTACCCGTGCCCGAGCCGGGAGACGTGTCCCGCGCTGCCACGCTGGACTTCGCTGATGTAGCCATGCATCTCACCACCCTTAGAAACCAACTAGATGGTAAACAACACGAAATTAACTATGCATAGCCCGCTATAGATACGATAAACAAGAACTAAGTTGATCCGCCACTGTCGGCCATGCCCGAGAAAACCCAATGTTTTTTATAGGCTTTTGTTTGTTTTTTATAGCCGACCGTGGCGGTCAAAAGGTCTGCAATAATGTAATATCAACCACTTTTTTTATTGGAATAACACTTTATCTAAAAAATTCACCTTATCTGATATAGCAAGCTGCATTGTGCAGTTATATTCAAATTGTGATTGATATGGTCATATTGTCATTTCAGCATGCAAAGATAAAGTGAAAAAAGTTATAGAGAATGATGTTGACAAACGCAATCTCAATGAGGACTCTCCAACCGATGAGGGAAAGAGAAAGCTAGAGGTGTTCCAAGATAAGATGACTACATTCATAAATTCTGCTGAAGAGAAACTTAAGACTGAAAATGAAAACTTAGACGAGTGCCGAATGAAATTCATAGCAACCGTTAAGTTTTACCAGTACACTCCTAAATGCGGCAAACTGGAAGACTGCGAACCAAAAGAATTTTTTTCACTGTGGACCTCATTTTGTAGCGATTTCAAAGATATTTATAAAAAGGAAGAACAAATTGCTATTAAAGAAAAGTAAGTTCCATTATCTTTCGCTATTCGGCTTTGGTATTATATCTCAGCTTGCCAATATTTATGGGAATGATCTTGTTTCAGATTAAAAGAAGCAAAGAAACTACAGGAAGAAAGGAAACCTCAGACTCAGCCTAAGAAGGAGGGTGGTCTTAAGGCGCGATTGCAGAAATTATCTAGTTCAAGGAAATAACATTAACAACACATGAGACCAGATTGTCACTCTTGTCACGCACAAAGAATGAACTTACTTTTAGTTCATTCACCAACATTCCATATTATTATTGCATTCCAAATAAGCAACTAATAACTACTCACACATTAACATGATTAAGGCAAAATGTGTCTGTGCTTATCCCTTTGAGGAACACCAGCATAATGTTGTGACAATATCATGTAGATATATTCCTTTTATAAACTTTTTATTTTTGTATTGGTAATGTATCGTTTCCTGTAACATGGATTGAACAAAGGCCTAATGTTTTAAACATAGCTATCATTTATTTATAACAATTTTAACATTACTGAAACCTAGTGTCTACTTAAAACTTGCTGAGCAGCTGAGCCACCTAACTTGGTTGAAAGTTAGATCTAATAAAAAAAAATAAACAGATGAAGCTTTACAATTATAACACTAAGGCCTCGTTTACGTTTAAGCGGCGCGTTGTGCGGTGCCATGTGCGGTTCGTCGTACATTGCAAGTGATGTTCATATGTTTGTGTTTGCACGGCCGTTGACACGATTTGATGCTGTAATGTACGACAAACGAAATACGCGCCTATTCAAAGGTTTATGTAAAATTAAGATCGTAAGAGCCATATCTTGTGGGAGGTCTTATAAAAAATGAGATTGGTACTCAAATTCGTATAGAGGATTTTCGAGATATTTGAGGATATCAAGTTATATTCCTGCACATATATAATTGTACCTGATATACTGTTTTTTAATACATTATGTTAATTTAAAATGCCTGATTGTGTGCATAGTTGTTCATCTAAAAATGGTGCTGTAACAATTGTTGTATCTGTAAATATTATTATTTAAACAATATAAAAACTCAAATATTATTTAATAAAAGCTTTTATTACATACAATCTAAACATTTTTGCTTCCATATTAGATGGAATTTCTTATCTATCTTCCTGTTGGTAAGTTTGTCACATAGTTTGAGTAAAGCATTTTTGAGAGCATGCCACTGCATCAAGCTCAAATGACTTGTTAGCGACTGACTATCAGATTCATTTCTGAAATTTTCTTCCACTTCAATAAATTTTTTCAATGAAGCAGAATTTGTTACAGTTTTGTAGGAATGAACCTTTTCTTTCTTAGGTGGTGGAGCTTGGTTTTCGTTGCTATTTTTACTTGAGTTTAAAAGAAGTTTAAAACTTTCTCTGGATAGTGCAACTCCATGATCTATTTGTGTTATATTTGGTGTTGCAAGTGGAACCTCTTCAGTTTTTACTGTTATTGGTTTAGTATCCTCATTGTCATCTGTTTCCATTTCATTCTCATCATTTTGGTTTACATAATCAAGTATGTTATCTAACAAACCATTTTCATCGTCATCCAAACCTTTGACAATGTCAATGTCTTTCTTCTGTGCCCAATCAAATCTGCCAAACTCATCAATATGTTTCAAGTCTAACCACTGGTCTAAGTCCTGTGGTAATTCATAATTGTTAGGGAGGAAATCTAATCCTTTCATTTGCAATTTATTTAAATATGGGTATAAGTTTGAATACCATGTTGTACTGTGTTGGACAAGTACCATACTCATAGACCACAACCTACTCAAAAGTGCATAAGGCAGTAAACTCATCCAGTGACTTTCTGCTCTCTTTACTCTGTCTAAATAGAACACTGCTGCTTGTTTTGAGCAGGTGGATACTCGCACCATTATTTTTGCAAAGGCCATTATTCTTAATAATACATATTGCAGCATTTGTTTGCTAGGCAAGTAAACATCATCATCTCCGGCACTTGGTAATGCTGATGAAAAGTTTTCTATTTCTTTCAACAGGTTTAAGGCTAAGTATTTCTTTAAAGCTGTATTTACCTTTCTTAAATTCCTATAGCCTATATCGTTACGAAATTTTTTATCATATTTATATAAAAATCTTGAGCAAATAGCACTCTCTTTATGTAGAGGAGACTGCTTTGATAAAACTTTGATAATATTGTTAGTTATTTGTTTTAATGCAGGTACATCTGGAAAGGAGAAGTTAAATAATTACTCTGCACTTAAATAATGATATAGTGAAGTCAGTATATAGTGTTAAACACTAGAACTTACCAAATTTTTTGACACACAAAAACATAGTTATGGGAGGCGGTAAAATAGTAGCAGAATTCCATGGCTCCGGCATTATGACACAAGTTGTAAAATCCCTTGGAATGAAAACGTAGGCAATAAAATAATCACCAGAAATAAACAAACTACAACAATTAAGAGATTACCACAACATTTCACAATAACATAACCTCAAAAGCCTGTCTGATTGTCATGTCACTGTCAAGTGTCAACAAGTATTCAATTTTAATCTGTGGTCAAGTTAAGGTCACAATCTCACAAATTAGAATTTACTGCTCAGAGAATATAAATTCTTAATTATTCCCCTTTTTAAATAATATATTAAATCGAATATATTGTCAATTTTTTTTATTTGTACGTATTATTTTTAAATGATTAATTAAATATTAATATTATTAAAACCTAAACAAGAATAAATCTTGATAATAGGATATTTTAAAATAAGGAAAATTAAAAGTTAAAACTAAATGATGTGTCATAATCATAATTGATTGGAGTATGGAACAAAAATAAAAAATATAAGATTTTTTTTTACAAAAATTTACTCTTGCAACTTGACAACAACCGGCATCCGGCACGCCAAAATAAAGAAAAAAAGTAGAGAGTGAATTTTAGTGAATGAACCGGTGAATGCGAATGATAAACGTACGAAGTGCGAATATAAAAGCAAAATAGAAATAAGTACAATACCTGCTGTAGTTCTTTGGAAAAAATCTTGGACCAAAAATAAGTTTGTAAATTCTACGTTTTTTTTGTATTTTTTTCGATCCTTTTAGCACATAGTAACTTTATTCTAACTTTTAGATAAGCCGAATTTTAAGCAAAATGCCTAAACACAAGAAGCAAGAGAGTTCCAGCAGCTCGGATAGCGATGAGGGACCAGTAGACGTAAGTTTTGTTTTTTCAATTTAATTTATCTTCTATCTAGCTACGTTTAATATCGTAATGAATCAAATCCTAAATAAACATTAACAGTAATGATAAATGTGTTTTTCAAATACACGTGTACATGCAAATGTCTCACAAACGAGTGAAAAAGGCGGCTTTTTAAAAGTTACTTTGTCATATTATTATATTTTATCAAATAGGTGTGTAATATAATTACATTTCATCCCAAAATGAAAAGTATATGGGAAAATATCTGCAGGGCAGGAGGAATACTTGATCTGTGTAGTTTCATTAATATTTAAAATGCATTTGTCTTTTAAACTGACATCTAATCATCTAACTAGTATAACTTTTATCATATAAGTTGTATTTATGCTTTTGCAGAGAAACCCTCCAGCAGAAAAGAAAGCTAAAACGGGTAACAGTACCAGGACAGCTGACAAAGAGCCAACATGGGTATTACAAGGGAAGAAATTGGTTAAGGTCAGAGAGTTCAAAGGCAAGGTATATGTAGATATAAGAGAATTTTATGAAAAAAATGGTGACCTGTTACCAGGCAAGAAAGGGATTAGCATGACCCCTGAACAGTGGAAAAAGTTGTTGTCACTTGGTGACGAAATAAATGAAACACTTAGTTCTTTATGCTGAGAGCAAAATACATGTTGTTGTTGTTCTTTGTTCTATGTAATAAAATGTGAGTTATTTAAAATTGCTTGTTTTTATTTTAGAGGCTACTTTAGAGCAGAGCTGGTCATCAGTCCACTGTGCATGCCACTTAGGTGTGAATTCAGTTTATTTTTGTTAAGTAGATAGATTAAATAGGTAAAATATGTAGTGTAGTAACTTTCATTGGCATAATTTTGTAATCAGATAATAACAACTATTGATTTGATAATTATTTATCAAAGTAGAAAGCACTTAGTATATTGATTGCACCCACATGTAATATAAAGTCAAACTGCATAAGTTTTACTTGAATATGAACAATTTGATAAATAAAAGAATTTGCATATATAGATAAATTCAAAATTTTATAATAATTATAGAATATTAAAAATTACAGTGACATTTGCAAAGATTGAAATTGGGCTGTATGGTAATAAATATAAATGCTATTTGTAACATCAAAGCTATTACCAAACAGCTTTATTTGTTGCTATTTTTCACAAGTAGTTTAAAATAAAACAGGAACACTAAATTAGGGTCAAAAAGCTAATGCTTGTGCAAATAAAAATCAAACTTATAATAAAAGTCCTTTATTGACAATACAAGACTTGAAATGTAGATGAGGCAGAGTCAAATTACAGTACCTACCTTTTGGTTTAAAACCTGTAGGTGCACATCATAAAACTATTAAAATAAACAGGTACAATATTGAGCAACCCCCACTTTAAATACCATTGATACTTAAAAGTAAAAACAAACATTCTGTATTTCATTATTCCAAAAAAACCTAGTTATTGCATGTATAGAAATATGAAATTAAATTCTATGAAAATAATGCATTAAAATCATTCCTGTGCTTGGTTTGAATTTATTGTGATATTTTAATATCTATAGACATTTCAGGCCTCTATCATGATCTTTGAATAGCTGCTATGCACCAGATACATTATAATAAAGAACGTAATTTGTCTGAACCATCTGCCACATACATTTATGGGAAATTTATATGAAGTTGGTGAAACAGGCCATTATTACAGAGAAATATATTATTGTCTTCTATACACCTAGTGACTACTTCTAAGGCGCATAAAATACAAGGTACACCAGAAATCACTGGGGCTTATCTGCCGATAGTGTTACAATTCTAGATTAGTTACAAATGTTATAGGGAATAATTTTTTGTGCAATTTTATGTAAACACACCTCAGACAAGAAAAGCTTTCCCCTAAAATTCAAACCAAGAATCATGGTACTAGTACAAACAGGTAATGAATGAGACACTTAAAAAAATATTTAGTATCAACTAGCGAGAAATAACTAAACATGCTAGTCCATCACAATAAACTGGAATAAACATACCTTGTCCCACAAATAAAACTAAATATTATGTATATAAAGGAGGAACGCATATATCAACCTGAGATTTAAATTTCAGATCATCATCAAGTGTATTTAACAATATAAAAATACATGTACAATAGACACTTACTACTTAGAAAGTATATAATTTGATAAAATTGACTAAATTTAAACCTAAATGGAAACATTTGGCATGAAATTACACATCTACTGTATGACATATTATATGGCATGATTAACAATTTATTTATTATCTAATAAACATGACTAGCGTTACTAGTAACGTTTCAATTTAGTCTTACTTCCTATGAGGACAAAACTTACAACTCAATAAATGCCCGTTCAATGTTATTACAATCTGTAACACAATATGAATGTTTACCCTGGACTAAAGATATATTTACAAAGACTTAAAAAATGAGAGAAAGACAATACAATTCATAACAATCAATTCGTTAAAATCAGTTGTATTGTATTGGTCCTCAGTATATAGACCTAATAATAATATTTTGGAAATATCACTCAGAAAATAGTATTGGATAAATTAACATTAACAGTATGGTAAAAACTTGCATAAAATGACATAAATCTGATTTTAAAAATCAAAAGTACCTATACACTTATTTAGGGCCTAGATAATCGCGTAGTAAAGAGCTGCGTTGCTACGTAACAATTATACATATTCCTAAAGGTACACGTTCACAACATAACAACGTGATAAGAAAATACACGTAGAAAATTGGGCGATTCTTATAATGTCCAATAAAATTTGGCTAAGAAAAATTTAATAAAATAAATATGAAACACAAATAAATAAATCTTCAACTGGCAATAATTGGCTTACATTTACATTAATTCACAATAATATAATAATATGATCGCATACCTTTATTTCATATTCTGAATAGGTACTAACTACCACATACAAGAGTATTAGATACTTACATACGAAATTATTTATTTTCTGCTATCATAATTCCCGACATCCAAAAAATTATTTAAAAATATACCTATTATTTTATCTTTGGCTTGATATGGAAACATTCAATTTTGAAATGATCACACATTTCTTGTACCTGTAAAATAAGAAAATAAAATTAATTAATATTTTTTCCTTTTACTGCCAACCTATTGAAGGCAAATTCTCCGCTACCGTAGGTGACCTACGTGGCGGTTTACGTGTTAAGAGAACAATTACATAATACTATACCTATAACCTTTGGTTCTAAAAGGGCAGCCAGAAATTCAATAAAATCTTTGTGCGCTGTTGTTAGGGCTTATTTAGAATCGAGGATTGGAAGTTTTGTGATTTCACGCAGATACACGCCGGTTATGTGGTAATGTGGTCCAAGGTCCACTCCAAAATAAACAAAAATCTTATAATGTTAAAACTCACCACTTTGGTACCATAGTAGATATGAGCGACGGAGCTGGCGACGCAAAGGCTGGCCAGCAGCAAGAGTTCTATGGTGGCAGACACGGGAAACGAGAAAACCACGCACATCACCAGCGCATACGGAATCAGCAACCCGTTGAACACCTCGCACCGAGTATCGCTCATTTGTGACACTATAAGCCGACACTGCGAACAAAAAATCACCGATTATCCCTCGTAATCCTAAGTACTAGGTATGACTTAGACACTAAGGCATTCTATTTATATACCTAATTATATACATACTTAAATAGTTTATTCCTTTGAACTTAACCTTTAGGTGCAATGCATGCATTTAATAAAATTGCAACCATAGTAGTTATGTATGATATTTAGCATAATGTAGATTCACAATATAATGGCTGTAGAAAATCTCATATTGCTTTATTTCGTGATACAACTTCCATGACATAATATATTAAATTTACTGGTCTCTTTATTTATTTTAAACTTGATTTTTAAATATTTTACACAAAACAAAAAAAAAGAAAAACACTTAAAAATATATAAAAAGCAGTAGCAACCGGTGGTCAGGGCTCCAGATAAAGGAATCTCCGGACAATGCGCGCCGTGTCTAGAAGTACAGCTTCCTGCATCAGATTCTTGACCAAACCATCTAACGTAAGCCTGCTTAGGTGTTTATCAAGGCTTTTACCCATGAGCCCATTGGCAGACACGACTATCGGCACAATGATTGCTGAGTCTACAAGTCTACATCCCCCATGTCGACAATCTCATGAGCTAAATCAAGATATTTACTTGCTTTATCTTTTTCAGCTTTCACAAGATTCTCGTCATGTGGGATTGTTATATCAATTATCATTGTGCGATGGCTAGATCGATCTATCATCACAATGTCAGGTTTGTTGGCTACAATTGTCCAACAGTGATGATAGTTCGATCCCAATACCTACAGTGTGACATTTCCATTCTCGAGAGCTGGGTCAGGCAGATACTTAATTTATACGGATAATAAAATAATTATTATGTATTTCGCGATCGCTTGAAACTAGTCGAGTTCCTCAACATATAGTTGCATAAGTAAGCTGTGAAGCTGGTATGCCGAGCGCAGCTATACGCGAGACACAATGAGTTTTCTTTTGTATCTCATATCCCGGCAGACAAGAGTTTTATAGCTCAATAGGTATTTTGACAATAAACAAAAAAAACTTACATTAATGTTAGAGAATATGGTTCCAGTTAATATGTAGAAGATTCTAGGAGCTCTGTTGATGATGTCAGTTGGAGAGTAGATGGCCCAGAGAGAACTTAGCGCGAAGAATATGAACAGGGGCACCAATGGTCGCACCGCCTCACTGAAAGGACGCATCTTGCCGGTTTTGTCTCGATACGACCTGGAAACGTGGGAGTATAAATAAATGAATGCATTAATAGGCATAAAACGACTAGGCAAATCACGACCCCCGAAGACTTAATCCGGTCAGACAAAGGTTCTTCCAAAGGAAAATTTTTATATGCTATTTGGTCCGAGGCCTTATTCATATTGCACTGCAAATAAGGTTACGGGAAAGCTTCAGCTCTTTACTGTTTTCGTCTTAATTCTTTGTCGCCTTAGGCACCACCATTTGTTTTTTTTCTTGAGGACGCTTTTTTTAAGCCTACAAATGTTTTATTTGGCATAACCCACTACTTAGTTACGCTTCAACTCTTCAAGTTACGATATAATATTGACTAGAGAGATATAACGTATGTTTATATATATTTAAGTGTGGGAGAGCCAAGCTTGGCACAAATGGGTCGGCTCGACCGGAGTGATACCACGGCCTCACAGAATACCGGCGTGAAACAACCCAGCGTTGTGTTTCGCCGTGTGAGTGAGGTTACCGGAGGCCCAATCCCTCCCCTTCTCCTATTCCTGCCCGTTCCATTTATCCGCAACCCCTTTCCCCAAAAGGCCGGCAACGCACTCGTAACTCATTTGGTGTTGCGGGTGTCCATGGGCGGCGTCGATTGCTTACCATCAGGTAATCCGTCTGCTCGTTTGCCGACTTATACCATAAAAAAACATATTAGCTTTAATTTAATTAGCTTAAGCAACACTTAAATAACAAAACTTACTTGTAAATATTCCACAATATGACAGTTTGGCTGGTGAGCATCGCGGAGAAGTACAACACGAACTCAAAGATGACACCGGGCGTAATGTTGCCTGGCAGGGGAATGTGCCAGGCTTCGGGACCGAACACTGATGTCACCAACAGAAGAATACAGGAACCCTGGAGGTAGAAAACGTTGTTTTCTTAAAATTATTTACTTATTTGACAAATATAAAGCGTCTTCGCTTCCAGATCCCACGGCGGTGATCCGGCAAAGAGGATCGCCGCGTCCCCGGAGATCGTGCGATATCCGCGGATTATCCAAATAGCCATGCCCTCTGGGACGCCTCAAGTCCGGCGCCCATACAGGTGCCCCATAGAGGGCCATGGATCGCACGATCCTCAGGTCTATCAGGACTTAAGATCTACTCTCGTTTAGTTCTGAAGGAATATTACGATAAACGATCCGAACGAATATTACGATGGATCATATGTCAGTGAAATATGTGTATAAGTATAATATGGAAAATATGTCAGTTAATAGCATATGGCGATACAAAAAAAAAAAATTACTATGCCAAGGGTAAAAAAATGTAAGGGCGTGCTGTGTTACAATTTTCATACCAATCTTTTTTCGGATTTCAGTGAGTTTTTAAGGGAGAATGTTAGCAGATATCCCGCAAATCAATTCGCAGAAGCCAGGCGGACTTTTTACGAAATAATACCAAAGTATTGGCTCTGCAGGCGTCTAAAATTCATTATACACATATATTTCATTTATATAAGTTGCTTTGTGGTATACTCATAAATAAAGGTTGACTCACGATCATAGTAAAGTCGTATCCCCACGGCAGGAACATGACTCCAGTGTTGTACTTCTCCCAATGCGTCAGATAGAAGTTGAAGAAGATGTTCCATATCAGAAACAAGAACCGTAGCGTACTCACTTCATCCCTGAAAGGTAATCAATTCATAAATCAATCATCATTCAAAAGTCTGGGAGGGACAAGCTTCGGCACGAATGGGCATTCTTGACCGGAGTTATAACCAAGGCCTCACAGAAAAGCAAAGTGAAACAACCACAGCGTTGTTTAGTCGTGTAAGTGAGGTTACCGAAGACCTCATAATCCCCCCCCCCCCTTCCTCCCCGATCCCTATATATCTGAAACCCTTATCCTCAAAAGGCCAGCAACTCCCTTGTAAGTCCTTTGGTGTTGCGGAAGCCCATTGGGGGCGCCGATTGCTTACCATCAGGTAATCTAGGTGCTCGTTCGCCGACCTTGTGTCTTAAAAAAAGGCATAAATTACATCATCAAATTACGAATAAAAAATGTTTAGGTAATAATCTGTTGATTTAGCCTAGTCTAACTGAATATTTAGTTAGGATACGTATGTATTTATTGATTTTCCGCTATAAATTAACTACAGAAGTGTTATATGATGCATCATACAATGCATCGTACAACGACGTCGATACAGCAGATTTAGCAACCTAGTGTAAAAATGTTTATATTTCATAATAATTAAACGAGATTTCTATACTTATTCATTTGTTTTAAAAATTATGATTCGTATTTACAAATAAACAAAATCATAAATTAATGTTCAATCATTATTAATACAGTAGTTTCCAACTGGTCAAATTCAATACTTTTATTCAAATGTCAAAAACGATACTTTTCTATGAAATTTGTATGAATAACTGAGTTATGACGTCATAGTTTTTTTGCGTCAAATAGTTTACTTATTTCTTAAAAAATTGCTAAAAAGTATCTAAAATTTAGTGTATAGATCGATCGATGAATAAAAGTTAAGTTATATTTTATTGCATTGAAACATCGAATTCATTTATTTTTGAAGTACATTTCGGTAGATTTCAACCAGTCAAATTCAATATTCATATTAAACTACTTATACTTTTCCTGAAATGTATGTGAAATATGTATAGCGAATACATATTTAACGTCATAATATTTTTATAACAAATATCATATACCTATTTCTGAACAGAAAATGCAGAAAAGAATTACTTCAATTAAAATTTATAGTCAAACCAATGAACGAAACTATAATTTAACAGGTCATTGTACTGAATAGTGAATAGTCAAAATAATTTAGATAGGTACTTATTTTTTATTTTCTAGGAATCTACCCAATTTGATCCCTTCCACAACACTTGGTATTTTTGTTGTTATTAGGGCCCATAACAAACGGTATATACCTAATTCATGAATATCATCTTAATAAATAATAGGTACAACATTAAAGAAGTATGAACATATCAATCAAAATTATTATTATTTTAGTACCAATAAGCAGGTACTTACACAATTTGTGTAATTTTATAAAATCAACAAAATATTATTTTTTTATTGTGTTTAGATAATGCACGTCATAATAACAGAAATATATAATTATACCTAAAGCCAGTCATCATAGTCAGCATTTTTTTTATTATCACAAAAAAGTATCTAATGCGCGACCTCGTAACATCTGCTTTGCAACGATTAGGGTTTAATCATTCTGTAAGTCTTCTATCGCTTCACTTATCTTGATACACGACACGTACGTAAAATACTACTTATTTGAAAATCACCTGATTTTTGATAACAAACAGGATACAATCTATATTACCAAGGTAGTGGAAACTATAGCACAACATAGAATCAGCCGTTTTGAAATCCGACAAAGACGGCATTACGATTTGCGTCGTTTGCCGTAAATCCAGAACAAAATTCCCTTTGTTTCCAATCTTTGTGTGTGTGGAAGAGACAAGCTTCGACAGAAATAGGTCGACTCGACCGGAGTGATATTGCTGCGTCACAGAAAACCGGCGTGAAACAATCACAGGGTTGTATGTGCTTTGTTGTGTAAGTGAGGTTAAAGAGGCTTAGTCCAGTGCTCTTTCCCAAATCTCCGAAACTCAAATCCCAAAAAGGCCGGCAACCGGCAACGCACTCGTTACTCCTCTGGTATTGCAGGTGTCCATGGGCAGCGCTTATTGCTTATCACCAGGTTACCAGCAAGCACGTATGCCGCCCAAAAAAAAAAAAAAAAAAATTAAAGAAATTGACATTTAAGTTGCTTTGAAAAACGCTGTAATTTTATATGTGAAATCGAGTTAAACATTCATCGTTATATCAACTTTCAGATACACCCATTTTAGGATAGCTTCAGCTTTTAGTGTATCAGTAAGCGTTAAAAAAACCAATTATCTCGCTGTTTTCATTATCTCACACCCAGTTTCTGAAAGGCTTGTCAATTCATTGATCAACTAACACTGCGATTAAATTGACATGACTGTCAAATCAATTTGAGTTTCTGAAACGTTGATCAGAGCATAATTAACTAATCTATGATTATTTTGATTTGACATGCGATTTATTTTTAATCATAGCCACACTGCTCTTTCTTGTTCAATAGTTCATTCTTATCAGTCAAATATGTTAATATTTAAAAAGTTACGGACTGTCATTGATGTCAAACAATTCTGCGAAATTCAAATATTAAAGTTACAATTTCAATAAAATGCTAATTAAACTTGCTTAAAATGGCATAACGAGGGAAGAATTTCATCGAAAGGGAGAAACATGTTCTTTTAGAACGAGTTCAGAAGTAAGTATAAGTATAAACATATATTTTTTACCTATTGCGTTTTATAAACCTATTGTTGTTTAAAAGTATAAAATATCTTTGTTTATAATTCATATCCTGCGCTGCAACCAAGACTGATGTATAATACGCACCATGTTTTATTACAGATACAAGCTCATAATTGATAATCAGTGCACAAATGCTATTTCTACTATTAATAAAAATGAAGCTCGGGAAACCATAACGAATGAATTCAACAGTAATGCAGATGTGCCTCGAAACCAAAAACAGCTAATCACAGCCTATTGGGATTAAAAAGAACTACGAGACAGAATGTAGCCAATAAAAATGTAAGTTTTTCATCTTAATAAGCTATTATAGTGCCCATATACTTTTATAGTGGCCATACTAGCTAGTCAGAATATTGTAACTGTTACCAGATTAGGATATATATTAAATACTTGTCCCGATTTCTTAACTAAGTACCTAATAATGTATTAAGAATAATAATTGCAACTTTAATGAAATTTATTTACAGGACATTCAATTTGCACATCAAGGAAACAATTTCAACATGAGAGGCATGCACTCAGGAACAAAATAATAAGCATCATGAAATAAAGTTGGAGTATGTAAATAAAAAAAAGTTTTTAGAATATCGGTTAACTATAAAACAGCATATGTTTCGAAATAAAATAAATTATTTGGTTAAGAAATATACATTATTAGTATTTAATTTAAATATAAGTAAGTTACTTACTATACTAACTAAATATGTATAAGTAATATAATATACTTGTTTTTATATTTCAAGTGTTATATTATATTTTATAAAGATTAATTAAACATGTTTATAATATGGTTATTTCTTTGTATTCTCCTAAAAATACATACCATTAATATTATTTAACAATTAAAATGAGTAAACAATAAAGATGTGCGCACAGAAATGTTTCCATTTATCTTTGAAAGAGCACCAATATCTTCTTGAACTATCCTAAGATATACTTGAGAAATATCCTTTCCTGTTCCTGTACAACTCAGCACGTGGCCCACCAGTAGACTATCTTTACATGTGTGCAGTCAAATGCCCCGATCACATTTGGAAAAGAGCTACTATATCGTTGTAGAATTTTGTTTTTATCCTTGTGCAATCCTGATGTTAACAGGGCATAGTAATCGCTGCAAATTCTTTTGTTATTATTCTACAAGCCGTAGATTTACACCAGCAACCATAATTTGAAATGCTCATGTAGCATGGTAATAGCTTATTGTCAGTAGCACCTATTCCAAAGCAATGATAAAAAGGTTCCTCAAAGTGACCGGTTTAATATTTGGCTCTAACATGTTAACTAGTAACAGCACAAACGCCTTTGTCCGTTGGTTGGTACCGATTCTTACATTCCTCTTCATTGTAGAAATCAAACAGATTCATTATGGTCTAAAATCTTCATCGCTGCTGGATGTGCTGATATTCATCATGCTACTATACGAAAGAGACATTATCGTAATCTAAAACCAGAATCAATGTAAGTTAATCAAGATATCAAATAATTTACTCTTGCAAAGAAAATCATATAAAATTACAAATAAATTTTCATAATTCATATTTCTATTTAACATGCCTTAAAAAAGTATTCCTATTTGAAGAGAAAACGTGAAAAATCAGTTGTATTCGTAAGTTAATTCGCCAACAAGCACCGATTAGTTGACCGGGCTTTTGACAGACGAATAATCTATGATCACGGCTTGACCAGCGTTTCAGAAACCCAAAATTGCGATAATCATTCGATTCTTGAGTTGATTTGACAGCCATGTCAACTGACATGATGGTCAAATTAGTTGATTAATCATGCTTTATGCAACCCAATTGACACTTGACAAGAGATTTAACAGGAGATTAGTTAATTTTAGCGTTGACAAGCCTTTCAGAAACCGGGCGTCAGTGCCGGATATTCTATCTGACAGCTCTGCCCTTTATACACGATATCCTATCTACTTTATATGCGTACAAAAACTACGAGTGACGCGCCCTTCTGTTTATATTGGTTAACAATGGTGTGTCATTTCCATATTATGAATATGGAAACATTATTTATTTATAAAGTATTAAGTTTAATTCCGCCTATTCTGTGCAAAAACGCGGTGCATGTACCTACAGCTACACAGTATGTATAGATACAATCTATGTGTTTCTACAATATAGACTTAAGACTCTTATTTTGTATATCTAACAAGCAAAGGGCTGATGTTTCAATGGTTAGATAAAAGTTATTTGGCGAATAATTATGACGCTATCGCGTCAGAATGTTTGTATAAGACAGTGACAGCAACAATTTAAATCCTCAGATAACAATTATCTGACTATTGAAAAATCAGCCCTTAGCTGCATCAAACTTTATTACTTACGTCAAAATATTTTAGTTTGTAGGTAGGTAAACTTACAGCTTGACCGACCGTAAATCTGCCAATCGAAGTGTTCATAATAATAACGAAAAGTAAATATGGAGACCCATAGCTAAAATAATTCATAGGTAATATTTGGTTTATTTATAACTTAAATATTATTATGTTAATTGGGTAGTTTCCTAGGTCAAATATAAATTAATTCGACGTTTTAATACGATAAAATATTGAAAAATAACTATACTTTTATTCATCGATCGATCGATACACTAAGTTTTAGATATTTTTTAGCTATTTTTTTTTTAAATAAGTACGCTATTTGACGCAAAAATGCTATGACGTCATAATTCAATGTTTCATATAATTTTCATAGAAAAGTATCGTTTTTGACATTTGGATAAAAGTATTGAATTTGACTAGTTGGAAACAACCGTATTCTAGGTAATATCAAGTATTCCATTCAGCATTTATATTTAATTAATCTCTTCTACTTATTTAAGTGCCTCACGTGCACAATTTAAATAGCCGGTGCAAATAACATTAAACACCTATTATTACTGGCGTCTATTGGCTACGTTTATTCCGTACGGACTAAGTACCTATACGAGTTATATACTTGGTACATAGGGATTACGTATAAAACAATGTCAACGGTCAAGGACACGTAAATACTTAAATACAACGATTTTTACTCAAGCTGTTGCTATGGTGAGATATTATATCAATTCAGTTTTGGTAGCCAGGTTTCAGTTGACTTTGGAAAAGCTTGGGCACATTATTAAAGTTTTTAAAGTTTATATTAATATAATTAAATCAAAGTAATTCATCAATCGCGTGTACTCTTAACATGCGTCATAGGACCTAATCACCTAATTAGTCGATTTCTTAGACTTCCATTATCGCGTTGTTTCGCGGTCACTATAAATAGTCACGAAAAAAAACTGTCCACTCCACATTTTTACAATTCTGTTCTTTTAATAATTATTGTACCAAGTCTGCCGATAAAATTAATTAAGTATTTTTCCGAACAATTAATTACACGAATTAACCGGTGTGTACAGTTGGGGTCACGTTCGTGTATCAAGATAAACCGTTGACTATTTTTGGAAGGTGATATTTAGGCGTCTATCGAGAGCAAGCTGATAATGTTTACCCATAATAACTAAAGTCCACTTTGCACATAATCATCTAAATTTTATTAGACAAAAACGAAAGGGTAGAACGACGTGTTGGCATCTGTAGGGGCGTATTGCTAATAGTGCTATCAAACCTATCCTATCCTATCAAATCTAGAATCAGATAACTGTTGGTAATTAAAAGTCTGAGAGGTATACCTGCCAAATATGCTGTAGAGGAAGGTGGGGATGAGAACAGCGGAGTACGAGTCCAGTCCATGGTCGAACAGCTCTCCTAATGGACCACTGGTACCGGTGCGCCGAGCCTGTTTGCCGTCGATGCCATCTGTAACAATTAATACAGTTTCATTGAGTTTCAATATGCAACCAACAAAGACAGCTAGACTAATTAAGTCAAGAAGCCTATAATAATACTTATATTTATAAGGTCTATGGATGATATGGATATCGTCATTGTAGGTAGTAGTATAAGGTAGGTAATATGCTAATCCTAAATAGGAAGTAGGTAAATTAAAGAATCTCGATTTTAATATACAAATTTTATGCATAAAAGTGATTAAGAATATCAAAACAAGCAATTATATAGTTGTAATTTACGCATTTATCATTTGCGTGTTCAGTGTTCACATAATTGAAATACATACATTTTTTCTTAAAGCAAGGTCAACGGTTTAAGAATTGCACGGACAAAGTGACACGTCCGTTTGATGTGTAACATTGCCGGCGATCTGCGTTGCCCCAAGTCTCGGATCGTTCGGCAGAAACACGTGTTCAGCACGCCCACTGTAGATAAGTCTTTTGTACTATTGAACTCATCGCGCCACTTTCATTGAGGATTAACGACATAGATTGAATGAATAGCGTGTTCTGCTTGGAATACAACCGAATAAAAAAACTATACTGGCTAAAAACTGGCTAAGTATACAATGGTTTAACGATTGTCGCGAGTTTTTAACTAGTGTAACGATAATGTTACCTAAAACCGGTTTGTGAAGGTCAACTTCAAGATATTTACTGGATTTAGATTTTTACTTTAATGGCATCCTTTAAGCTCTCGCCGGCCGGTATATGAGACACAATAGTAGGTACTTGTCTTGCTCGGTTCTGGTAAATCAGAGTATTTTTTTTTATTGGTTATATTATCAAATGACTTCTCTCGTCTAGGGTGAGGCGAGAGGGAATGTCAGACTTTTACTGACTTAGTATCACCCCGTTCCTTCTTTTCCAGGCCGAGGCCCGCGTACCTTACTGCGCTCGCCCCGCAACCCCGGCTAATATATCAAGGGTTAAGTATTTATTTATAAAAACAAGGTACTTATTTCGATTACGATTAGGTTATTTGTTAATACTTACTACATTATTATACGTTTTAAAGCATGTCGCCAGATATCCAGTTTCCTACTAAATTAATAGATAGAAGGTTTAATTTAAAGGGGAATTCTTTACCTCTTTATTTTACTCCCATTTCTTCCAGGGAACTTTTAGTCTGTCCTATATAAAATCTTTACACCAATCCATCCATCTAACAGATAACTAGATTGAACAATCTAGATTTGTTGGTATGATTAGTGTAGGTACAATAAAAAAATGTACCATCTACTTCGACCACTAAGTACTAAAATTAGTTACTACCACATTTTCGAAACACCAAGTAGGTAATGACAAAATTACCACCACTTTGAATATTGTGGTTTAAGTTACAAGGACTTGACATTTTATAATTGTAGCCTAGGTTTTTAAGCTGGGTAAAACACACCTCCAGATATTCCTATGTTAAACGTACCTAGCTCGATTAAAATCAGAAAATATTGTCAAGCGTCTACGATAGGGATTTGGTTCTAAGGAAAGTAATATAAAACTACCTATTTTGTATTCTTATTGATAATAGGTATGCGATGTTAGTAAACAAACACGTACAGAAACAGTGAACTTTGTTATTAAGTAACAACAAAGTATCATTGTACAAATATATATCGATCATACGACGAAGTATAATTATAATTAGGTATTAGTTTATCCTCTCTATTAATATAAAAGGCCAATAAATGCATAGATAATGTGTTTGATTTTGAATAAGAAACAAGGATGTGATGAAACGTCTACTATCACATGACATATTAAATTTAACATTAGATAAGAAAGGGCAACAATAAGAATGTGCGAGTGAGACCGAGCGGCAAGGCGGCAACCATCACAATCGTACATAGTCAAGTATTTCATTTGTTTCTTTACGCCTTATATAATTTTACTCTCCATGGCAATTGCAAATGCTACGGTTGAGACAGATTGATACAATATTGTTACGAATATGAATAATGGCGGTTGTTTTCTTGGACAATTAATGCAACATGGTCAAACCATTTATGACGATAGCAAAGTGAAAACATCGTGATTAAGAGAAATGTGAATTTCAAAATGCAGTGACAAGAATTGGAACCTTTTTTTTCTCATGGAGTAAATCATTAAATGACTTCTATCGGCAAGGGAGAGGCGGGTGGGAGTGTTAGATTCTTTCTGGCTAAAAACCACCCCGATTCTCTTCCAGCTCCAGGAAGCCGCGGTGTCTTATGAAGACAGAGAATTTGAATGCTAAGCCAGCTTTTTATGTGGTTTGTTAGTACTTAGGACATACGTTGAAAGATTAAATACTAGAAAAATTGGGTAAGAATTGAATTGAGCTTCGAACAAGTACCTAAGTAAGAGGACGTTTATAGACAGCGTCTTCAATGGACGTAAAAGATACTACTAAAAACGTCGAATAATCTAAAAAAAAATAGAAGTTTTAAAAACAGGATTAAATTATAATAAACTTACAAGGAAATGCATTAAAATATTTACGCGGGATTACGTATGCAGTAGGATGTCTACCTAATTACCTTTTTATACAAAACACCAATCACTTAATAAGTAGGTACATATGTATAAAACGAGACGCATGCGTCATGATTTTGCAATTAAAATACAATTTAATGAATAATTGCTATTTAAAACAGAATAGACTAAGGACTAACTTTGAATGCGAATAATATTACTTACTTAAAAACACAATAGGTACACATATTACACATATATAACCAATAAGAGCTGAACCACCTTCATATTAGTATCCAAACCTTCTGTGGTTCATAGTTCAAATAAATTACGTTCTATATTCAAATTCAAATTGGGTAGTTTCCTAGGTCAAAAATAAATTATTTCGACGTTTCAATACAATAAAACATTGAAAAATAACTATACTTTTATTCATCGATCGATCGATACACTAAGTTTTAGATTTAGTTTAGTTTTTTAGCTTATTATTAAGAAATAAGTAAGCTATTTGACGCAAAAAAGTAATGACGTCATAGCTCAGTTTTTCATACAAATTTCATAGAAAAGTATCGTTTTTGACGTTTGGATAAAAGTGTTGAATTTGACTAGTTGGAAACTACCGTATTGTCTGGTACGAAGTGGCTATCCAAACATTGTTTATGGACTGTATTTTGGTTTACTTTTGGTCCTTGTAGAGTGCAAATAGCTGCACTAGAAGGAAACCGGCAGACAGACTGACACACAAAACTTTTTGATATCTATTTTCTGTCTGACGTTTAAAAGTGCTTATAAGTAGAAATAAATGAATTGCCTCTGACTTAGAAAAAAATGTGATAAGGGTAAAGACTCTTGTTTCAAAATGCGAGTAGATAGGTACCTACATATTGTATTTTAGTGTAATCTTTCTAAAAAACATATTATCGCATGTGTAACATAGTACGCAGTCAAGCGAGTACATTGATATCATATAATACGCGGTATGTACGACGAATAAGTAAATTCCTAACATTGATAAAATTATGAAAATGTTGCGTGCGTATTTTGTTACTAATTGGCTGCTGCTATCATTATTTGTTTATAGCGTAATCATTATTAATATGTACGTACCTACTTACTTTGATTTGAAGATTACATACAATAGAGAAAAATTGTAATAAGTTAGATAAATCATAACACGTGTGTAACAGGAAAACCGTTACTGACTTTTCAGTTCTTTTCGGTTTTTTAGTAATTTTCACTATTCAGGATCTTTCTTAGGTTTTTTTTTTGTATCGGGTTGGAAAATCCTCTTGGAGACTCACCGCCCTCGGGGAAGGGCAAGGAATACTGTCAGACTCTTACTGACTAAAAACCAACCCGGTGTTCCTCCATTTACCCATTATCTTTCTTAGGTTTTGTTTCAACGCGTGATTACGTGTGTTTAGATGGTCCTCTGGTAACTTCAGCCTAATTTACACCTAAGTATATCTACTTTAAATATTTTCAATTGCTTTTTGTCTGAGACAGGTGATTAATTGTTAATAATTTTGTAAAGGATTTTATTTAATGTCGCTAATAGGAGGACAGCCGAGCTCGAGTGGGCAGTCCCTTCTAACTACGAACATCACACTACACAAAATTTACTTAGGTGTTATTGTTGCGTGTACGCAACGTACGGCCACCTGATTACAACAATAAAACCGCTAATTTTAAACGGATTCCGGTATATTTAGCGCCCACCACGTCATACAGTCTGGCGCCACATTACATTGCTATAGTGACGTCAACAATAACTCAGATTAAACCCAAGAGCTGGCTGTTTTACGAGTCTATAAAAATTTATGTTTTCATTTATGAAAATTGGAAAATCTATAAAGTGGGTAGGCGCTGTTTGCGAGTAGTCAAAATACCTATGTACAAGGCGATATTCAACGTTGTAAAATATTCCGTTTAGGCTTCCATAATAACAGTAACCTACGTTGAAAAAAATCTAAAATAACATCAAGTTATGTCAGAGACAAAATGAAAATGTCGTTCGTTCGAAGCAACAAATATATTTGGGAAGCAGATTAGGATAGTGTCCTATTTGTTACATAAATTATAGTTGACAATAATTGTAACACGCACGCAGTTGTCATAAAATTTACGCGCCAATTATTATTAAGAGTGCCAAAGTACTACACTTACATACAAACATACAAGTCGCTTTGGCAACCTCTATTCCTATTTTAATTAACAGCCAAAACAATCATATTTTTAAATACTACTGAAAAAATCCTAGGAGAGGAGTAGTTAGAATAGGTTGATTTGAAAACATTTGAATAAGTATAGACTTTTGACAATAATTTATGAACATTATCTGTGTAAATATGCATCTCAAATAAAATACTTAGGGACATGTTATAGTCATACATTTTTAATTACACTTAAGGTCAAGTTAGTTAGTAGCTAAGGCAAGAATAACCCTGAATAATGGCTTCATAATCTCATAAATACATTACATACTCATTTGTTACCTGGTCGCTACTGTAAATTTGTAAAATTGAATGTAATTGTTGAATTATCCTGCTCATAAAATTATATCCTGCGCAAATTTAGGCGTGCTAATATTTACAGACAAGAAAATGTATAAAAGGTAAATCCAACACTAAAAATAACATGTATGTATGCATACAAATACATATCTCTTGGTTGTGCAACATAATAATTTATAGCAAAATTTTATGTGGCATTCATAATAATTTTTACACACTGATAGGAATTCATATAAGCATTATAGTAGTGTATAGCAAATTGGTACATTATTTAATTTTCATTAGTTTTGTTAATATCTGTGGAATCAAGCATACCTCAATATAAAAATTTATTGGTTACCTATGAAGGTAGAAATGAAAATAAAGGAGAGAAAACCCTAGAAATAAAATATAGTTTTTAAATCATGATGAGGATATTCAGACTTTAGTTTTGTTATCACAAACAGAACTGGCTATTAAGAACAACTAATGGCAAGCAAATTGCCTTTTTTTTTTAAGATGTGACATTTGAAATGACCTTAAAACCTTATGAGATGCACCTTTTTGTTACATCACTATCAAATTCAATTAAATAATGTCTATGATTTAAGTCCTACTAGTATGCTGAATGCAATATATGTATTGTGAGGATGTAAGTATTAATATTTTCTGTAAATAGTTCACACAAAAAGCAGAAGCATATCGGAATGAAATTTTAACCAACCAAGATCAATTTCAAATGTGAAGTAACATAAAAACTTCTTTCAATATGGCCCGAGAAGCTAGTATTATCTGAGATGACTTACCCAGAGTATAAGCCACAAACAGGTTGACCGCAGACACTCCCCATACCCATGAAGGTATCTGATCTTTGGTGATATTCTCAGCTGTCATGGCATAGAAACCATAGTCGTAATATGAGAAGACAAAGAAATTCAGCACAGTCAGCAGGAAACCCGTGAATGTCAGCAGATTTGGGGCCACCCATACTGGACAAAACTGAAAAAATATTCATTATAAGTATTATTCAATTTAATGTGTAAAATGAATTATTATACTCATCCCTCAGGTGATGATAGTATGCTCAAGTTCCTCTTTATTGTTTAAGTAAAGAATTCAATGGTAATAAGTCACAGTAATAAGTAATACAAAATAAATATTTTATTCTGTTGAATTTAATCTTCATAACATTTAAATAGGAGTTTTATAGATCCACCAAACCGATTTTAATACAAAGATTAAAGATTTATAGAAAGATTTACTTATTTCTGACTGGAATCTTACCTGGACACACCAATTCCAAAATGGGTGCATAACATAATTACTGAGAACACTGGTATCCACAGAGTTATACTGAAACAAAAGACGTTTTTTTTAATAATATCTCTTTGTATTATTCATAAAATAAACTAGCCGATTCTTTAGAAAATCGACCTTTCATTCATTTTTTCAAGCTGAAATACACAAGTATCAGTGAAAACTTTCAAATAAAAATATTCTAATTGGAAGTTTGAAAAAGGAAGAAAGACTTACTTTGTATTTTTCAAAACCTTTTAATTTATCCTCCGACAGGAAGCGAGCCATGACGAACGTTGAAAATTAAGCTTTGTTATTAGTAAGCAATATAAATTAAATTCATTCTTCTACGACATTACACTTAATATATCTGATTTTTGTGACGAAATTACGATATTAGTCCAATATCATGCGTATTTATTAATTTTTACAGCGTAATTTCTATTTTAAACACGCACAACACCACACTCGTTCATTCGAAAATGACAACTAAAAAATTCTGAAATACAGTGCTCACTCATTGACGTTGATGACATTTTCAACTGTGATGTCGCAAAAACCATAGACTATTTTCATTATGTCTTTACCGTGCTGCTGAAAATAATTAATTATATTATAAAATATTATTGAAAGAAATATACAAGTTTAGTTATGTTTTTACTTTAACATACGTTTCTAAATTCTGGGTAATTTTAGTCGCATTACTCATTTACATATTTTATCGATTACGGTAGCAATAGACAAGTTGCGACGTCTTATCTTTTTTCTCTTTAACCAAGGAAGCTCAAGCAAGATCCATGATTGTAGGGTAGACAATACAAGGACAGACAAAGACTAATAAAGTCGTTGTTTAAGTGTTTGAGTGCCAAGCTTCGGCACGAATGGGTCGTCTCGACCGGAGTGAAACCACGGCCTCACAGAAAACCGCCGTGAAACATCCACAGCGTTGTGTTTCGCCGTATGAGTGAGGTTACCGGAAGCCCAATCCCTCCCCCTACCTATCCCTTCCCAATCCTTAAATATCCGCAACCCTTATGCCCAAAAGTCCGGCAAAGCACTCGTAACTCCTTTGGTGTTGCGGGTGTTCATGTTTGGTGCCAATTGCTTATCATCAGGTAATCAGCTAGCTTGTTTGCCGACTTATCCCATAAAAAAATTAGATACATATAATGTAACTTTATACTAAGAATATTGGTGACACTTGACAATGATTTTGTTCTGATCACCAGATAGTGAGCCTTCAGCGCCCTCTACTGACACCTGAAACGCTGAGATACAAGTGCGTTAGCGGCCCCTTGCGAACCCATCTCCAAATCTCCTATCCTTAAATTTCTATCACCCTCTAAAAGGCAGAAAACGCCCCTGTAACTTCTATGGTATTACGGGTCTCCCAGAGGCTACACTGATACCATCAGAAGAAATGTAGGCTCACATATCGCATCGCCAACCCTGACATAAAACCAAATCTACGATGGTTACCTACTAGATATATTTTATTTACACTGAGCGGTGACGTAGCAACCTCCTACTCCCAAATTTTAATTCGATTAATCTAAGCATTGTTTTCTTATAAGAGTAAATAAATAAATTTTTAATATTTTGATTTTTCCATTTCATTATCCCTGTTTATTTAGTACGTACATAAGCGAAACGCATACTTTTTCGGAAGGTGGCTATGTAGCTACAATGACTATAAAACACGTTACGATCAAATGGAACCGAGCAGCGGGTGAAACCGCGCGAGGGCAGCTAGTCACAAAAATAAGGATTTGTGTATATACTTTATTGCTATGACTTTTTTACTAGGCTCTTTGTTTTGAAGTAACTTTAACCATTATTGATGATTTGAAAAATAAACATTCGATGTGATGCGAATATAAAGGTAGGTACTACACTCTACATCTATTCCCAACATCACTTTACAAGTGAGCAGCACAGCTAAACAAAGGCCCCTTGCCCTTCTTATAGGTACCTACTTAGACAGAGAAGATTTTCTTGTCGGTTGCCGGCCGTTTAGGGATAAAGGTTTCGGATATTTGAGGATTGGGAAGGGATGGGGGGAGGGAGAGGGTTTAAGCATCCGAATTCCACTCTGTAGCAATTCTGATGAAAAAATAAGTGACCAATCGCTTCGATAATGTTGTGAGCGGGATTACCACAATTATGCGCTTTTTTGCCGATTGCCTGGTGGTGTGATGTTGGAAAGGACTAGAGAGAATTAGATAGTGGAGTTCCCCGCTCACTTTCCGTGTTTATCAATGTATGTAATGATTAATAGTTAAATTCACTCTACGATCTACCTACCGAACAGTAATATGCTACTTAATTATAACAAGTAACCATAAGGTATAAGTAGGTAGGTACCTAGTCCCTTTTACTTTTGAAAATGGTCAACCCCATAGCTTATGGTAGACAAATTTATAAACATGACCATCATTTTTCGAATAGATAGACCTGAGAGAGAATAGACCTAAGGTTAGTTAAATAAAAAGTATCTAATTTTCGTTAGTTACTTTTTATGTGACTAAAAATTATTCACATTCTTTAGTTCTCATTATTATACCACAATAAAAGTTAAATTCATAAAGTAATATACTTATACTTAAAAAGAGCAAAACACACTATGTTGTATAGGTACATCTGACTGCAGAGTTATCGTGTTCAAAAGCACACATTTAGAAGTGTTTAAATAAACGATAGATAACAATAACTTCTGTACCTACCTATCAGAGATGTAGGAAGTTAATTTAACATTAATTGTGTACGAAAACATAATGAAGACTTGTGGTACACACAAGTAACGCAATCAAACAACAAATGTGGTATCACTATCACTTGTGATAAAACGTCATGTCGATTGTATGTTTTCTCAAAGGAGCTCCGTTATTTAGTTCGAAATATGAAATAGACACGACACACGCCTCGTAACTGCTTAACGATTTAAATTGTGAACATTTTATTTTTAAATTTATTTTTTAAAATTGAAAGTTTGTTGTTTGTGATAAGGCCAATAAATATGCTGTACAAATCCGCGGCTCTTCGGACGAAGAGCCAGTATTTGAAACATGTGGTTTATTACTCTTCAGCCAAGGTAAGGCTTTTCAAAGTTCTACGACCAGTTACATACTTTACACTAAAAATTTTGCTCTTTATTAATAATAACTGTTTTTAAGTAATATGATTTAATATTTCAACGTTTTTTATTAATTTTACTGTAACGTGATCATTTGGTACTTACCTAATTATTGAAAATAATAATCAAAGGTAGGTACCTAACTTACATTTTATGAAAACCAATAATAACTTAGTCAAAGGGAAAAATGTTACCTAGATACCTAATATTAAAAAAAAGAGGGAAGGCAAATATCACATAATGTAGATACATAGGTAGTTAGTACCTACGTATCTAGCCGTATTTTTATATTAATCCACTTAATTAGAAAAACCCAACAACAACCTAATCAAAATAATAATCTGTTTACTTCACACTATTTATTACGATCGATAGAATAATAATTATAATCAAAGTCTGAGTAAGTACGTAAACGATTTCCGATTTTATTATTAGATATAGGCGCTTAACTAACAATATTTTTAATTATCTATTTTAAGGCAGGTTGGAATTTTAAATAACTTTTAATTAACCCAATGTTTGGTTGCGGCGGGCTTGGCCCAACAACCCAACGTAGGCTAATTATACACTTTATGCTATAGGGTGCAAATTGACACTTTGTTACTTATAATTTATTACACGACATTTACTACATAAAATGGTCTTTGCCTAGTAGGTAGGATTACCTAAATGCTTAGTGTTGGTCCCGAAATATTCCTGATTGGAATTAGGCCAGAAGAGGAGAAAATACATGTCTTGTGATTGGCTTTAGGTAAACTTTTTAAGAACTCTTTATTTAAATGTTATTTTACAAATTTATCTAGTTCTAATTTTAAAAATAACGTTCTCTTTTCTCACCTCTTCAGATAACGTATTCATCCGCGACAGCCCGTGGTTCTTTTCTTTTTTTAAATAAAAAAAAAAGTCGATACCTATTAAACTATTGGATAAAATAAATAACAACTTATTAGTAAAATTTCCTGATAAGTAGTTAAAGGGATATTCAGGAAGAACATAGCTAATTAATTAACTAAATTGCAATTATGCATTTTTCCTGAACTTGTTTTTGTTTTATCCTTTATTGTATCGTACCACCGCGATTTAGTCACTTTTCTGACGGACGGAATGATGGACTATTCTATTTTTTTACCGTCTCAAAGTATCTGTACTTATAGATATTTTTAAGTAAAAATCATATTGGGTAAGTAATACGAAAATGCTTTAAAATTGAATTTGACGAAACTCTAATTCGGATCCCCCCCTCTCTCTCTCTCTCTCTCTCTCTCTCTCTCTCTCTCTGTAACCTAACCTAACTCTGAAAACAATAAGTTTAGTATCGTCCAGACAGCTCTCTTATAATATGTAGATATTTATAGGTACCTACATGTAGGTAGGTTCCTACCTCGAGGTTATACTATGTCGAGGTAGATAGATAGGTATGTAAGCCAGGTAAAAAATTAAAAATGAACATGAAAATGTCAAGATTTTAAACAAGAATACATTTTAAATGATAACGAAAGTAACATTGTTACAAGGTTAAATTAATATTGATTTAATTTAGCAATTCCTACGTGTAGGCCTGACACACTGATTTATTTTAATTCCTAGGTAGCAACTGATAAGGGGAGTTATTGTTATGATGCCCGATACACGTACCTACCCAGGTTTAATTGAACATACATTTATATGATAACAGTATCTTAATGTTACCTACATAAACATTTGCTTGATAAGTAGGTACGGGCCTCCTGAACTCCCTAAAGATCATGATAAATTATCTCAGGTAGGTAAATTTTAGTAAGTATTTTTTTGACGGAGGCTAATCAACCTAGGACTCTGTGGATGAGAAAGAGTGTCATATTTACAGGCTAAAAGCCATCCCTTCCCAGAACAGTATGCGCGTAGTGTTCGCGCGCCTCAAAGAGCCAATAGACCTACCACAGACGGGGCCCTATAGGGCTGATGTTCAGCCGGAGTTGCGGGATAAGCTCAAGCAGTCAGGCCCAGAGTAGTAGAAGGAATGGGGAATTTTTAGTCAGTAGGTGTTTGACACTTGATGATATTCCTCTTACAAAAAACCCCTCCTTTCTATTCCGAGTTAATTGGTCCAACATTATAAGGTACCATCGTCATTGGGATTTGCCTGTGACTGCAGCTGATTTTATTTTATTAAGGTTTGGGTGGAACTATTGTGTCATATATATTTATTAAATACAGATACAGTTGTGTATAGAAACCATGTAAAGATATATTAAAATAATAAAAAAAAGTAATTGTTTCCTTTTTGTTTAGCAATTTTTAATACTTAAGTAAGTATGTTAATTCAACACCGTGCTATCTAGTGAACGATCTTTAAAATTTTATTCAACAGCCAAAATGAGTGAAACAAATGAATATTGAAATGATGGTAA